TTAACCAATCAGATTTTGTAAAATCACGAAATGATCTACAAAAATTATCCAATCAGAATAAAAGCCCGCTATGCTGATCTAAGTGTGTTCCTAAAGTTGCACCATTGAAATTATCTGAAGAAGAACATTGTTATATGTTCCTTTATCCAATCAGTCGACCGTTATTTACTGGGTCTGAGAAAGAATACGAGCTTAGATTAAACCGTGCTAATAAGGGCACAAAAAAAAGACCAGATCTTTCCTGCACGGTAAACGATGTACCAATTTTAAATTCAGAGATCAAACCACTAGGATACACACACTTGCAACGGAGGAAGGATAGCCTAAAAGTACAACTAAATGCCCGAAAATCAATCAATCTGCAACTGGAAACTAAGGGAGGTCCAGGTGAAGCTGGTACATTTCTAAATATGGGTATGTATGCTTATAATAGATGTGATTGCGCAAAAGTTTGGTTTTTTTTTTGTGATACATTGAATGATTTTCTGTGATAACCAGGCGATTTAATGGAATCATTCTTCATGGATCTGCAATACGATGGTTTATACCGTTCCTGGCCGTTTCTTACCACAAGACTTGTGATTGACAAGACTACGATTCCATTAGCAGAGTCTGCAATCGGCCATTTAGTGGCTTTGGAGGTATATAATATGTTTTCTTCGAGCTTGTTTATAATAAGCATTTTACTCAACTTAATTTCCCCTTTAAATGTTAGGAACGTATCGAGAAAATTGCGGAAAACTACAAATATCGGAGTAGCCAATTCACGCCACCTGCACAGATGTCCTTTGTGCGTAAACTTCCAGATTCTCCACAAGTAAAGTTGTTACTTCATTAGAGTCGGTCGATTCACTTTTGGGTTGGAAAATAGTATTGATTTTATCATCAATAAAACAATGACTTAATGGCGCTGTTTATACAGTCATGTAATAAGCGATCTTGCATATCAATTCTTTTTTTACTTTACGTAAATTCGTTGAGCAAGATTTTTAATCGACTCTTTGTACCACGAAAAATCAATAAAAGTAAGACAGTTACCGTAATCCTTTTATTCAAAATACCGGGACGAGTGGCAAAGGGTTTTGGGTCAGTGTTTCTCCCATGTAATTATTCCATGACTATTTTTTATAATTATTTATGGATTATAAGATTTATAGTATTAAACTCAATACGCCTCTTGTGAGTCACTGATGCGAACTTGTCTTTAAGGAATTAAAAAAATATATTTATAATGCAATTGAGCTGGAAAACATACGAATGTTTATTGTGCTACATACCCCCAACGATATCCACCAGCATGACCTTTACGTCTTTTGCAAACTTTTCCAATATATGATCCATCAATTCCAGTTATACGTTGTGCTTCAGATATGGATAGAAATTCTTGAGTAGAGCCATCATCGAAAATCTGTTTGACGGCACGTCGACGACCGTTGCCCCAAAGGCCGAGGTGTACAGCATGCTGGGAGTTTTCTTTCGGGGTACACCATTCGAATTATTGTTAGTAGAGTCACCGTCAATATGATTTACGTATTCTTTGCCTTCTTCTTTTAGACAAAATGCTAATGCTACCAACCGATGAATACGATATTTTTCAACTCGGAGATATCCTGAGTGCAATGATCCCCGAGAGATTAAACCATTGCGCAACCGAACTCTTCCGAGAGATGAAACTTTAAATTTTCGTGAATCTACCTCTATTTCTTTCCACTCTTCATTAGGGTCTTGTTCTATATAATCCTCATAATACATCCAACGCCAACCACCAGCAATATTTCGCTTTCTATTACAACATGCCGAAATATGGTTTCTCGAAATCTTAAGTGCATAACCTGCAAGAGTTATTGAATCCCAAATTTGAACAACGTTTCCATCCAAAGTTTTCTGAACAATTTTTCTGGATCTACCACGACCACGGTTTGGGAATACCTTACGTTCAGCATTCTCTTTAGGAGTTACCCATTCCAAATTATCTG